GTTGACCTGCATGTCATCCTTCTGCCTTCCCTCTCAGAGGCCAGAGAGTGGGGAACAGGCTGCACAGAACTGAGCAAAAGCACCCAAGCTGCAGGATCTGGGATTGTTTGTAGCAACTGGACTATGGTTTTAAATAAAATCAGCTGGGGGAGGGGGGGGGGAAATAGGTGCAGTTCCTGTGCAGGGTGCAAGTGAGAATCTGTTTTAGGTGATGAGAAAACAATTTCAGCTTCCAGGAAAGATCACACTCCTCACACACCTGCTACCTGTAAGAATAAAGGTCTGAGCCCAATGGGGAAAAAAAAAAAAATTAAAAAAAATAAATATATATAAAAAGGAGGCTTTTGATTCTGACCTTTCCACTGCTGGAGGGAGCTACACCTCTGTCAGCACAGACAATGCCCAAAGACTTGTAGCTTGAGTAAGCCAGAGATTAAGAACTGCCTGGGTTTGAAGATCAGCAAGCTCTCAGTACAGCCTTTTCTCTCTTTTGTGCTCCTAGTTTTGAGAGCAAAGAAGCACTGATTAAACAGCATTTTAGATGCTTTGAAAGTTTTGTTCCAGCAACACAAAGCCTGCCTTTGGCGTGGGAAATGGGGCAGAGAGCTTGGCAAAGGCGTGCCCTTAGCCTGTGCTCTCAAAGCTCCACTGAGGGGCTGCGCCCTGGAGCCAGCAACAGCCCAGAACAGAGACAGAGAAAAAGCTAATCCTGAGCTGAGTGCACCCCTGGCCCCCCAGGCTGGTGAGGCACAGCCCAAGGGGAAGGGCTCACCTCACCCTTCCCCACAAGCTTTCAGCCTCAAGACAATAAATAGTCTCCCTTTCAACAGCCAAAAACTCTGTGTAATTTTTTTTCAGGCACGTATTCTGCTCCACATTCATTTCAGTGCTAATGTGGACCCAACCTCCTCACCAGGCCTGCAAGGGTGCTTCAAGAAACCAACTTTTGTTTTGCTGGTAATTTATGGCAGGCCTGCAGCTGCCAAACTGCCCAGCATTAGAAAATAGAAGGCTGCTGTGCTACCCCCCCAGCCCCAACGGCTTGCAGAGTGATTAAGGATAGCTTTAATTTGAAGCCTGCAGCTCAACAGCTCCCAGAGGATTGATAAAATACATATAGCAATCTCCAGTTCCACCTCTGGAGGCCGAACTCTCTCTGGATGATTAACGACAGCCATTTCTTCCCTCTCCCCCTGCTGCTGAAGAAGGCTGATCCCCTGTGAGGTCCAGCCGGCGCTGGACTCGCGCTCCGACTACTGAACAGCAACATTTACAACCAGGAGAAACCCTGCAAGAAACAGAATCAGCCCCAGAGAGGCCAGAGACACCCAGGATAGATCTTCTAATAAAATCAGGGCCATTGGGTCACGCTACCTGAGGCAGACCCAGCTGGGCTGGGTTAGCAGGGCTGGCCTAACAGGAGGAACAGGAGCTGAGAACTCCCCAGAGCCACCTCTGAGGCTGCTCCCAGGAGGCAGCAAGGCCAGAGCAGCCACTTCCTGCCAGGAAAAAGGAGCTCTGCAGCCCAGAGAGCTGCTGCCCAGGAATTACTCTCCTTTGGCTATAGCTTGAGGCTCAAGAGAAGAGCAGTGTGGGTGGGAAAGCAGCTCTTTATCCAAAGGAAGAGCTGCTGCCTATTCCTCATCCATCCGTGTCTTCCACAGTTACTTACCACAGACTCCAGGCCAGAGGCAGCTCCAAAGCAGATTAAACATGAATAAACTGTGAATACCCCTGTTTCCACCTCCCTAGAAACCCACCTTTGCCCAGCCCTGTTCTCCAGGACAGCGTGTTCCCATGTGGGCACACAGACAACCCTCCAGCACTGCTCTCCCTTAAAAGCAGGTACCAGAGACAAGCATTTGCCACTGCAGAGAAGAAACCATTTGAGCTCGAGACTACACCAGGAGCCTGGTGAGGAACACGAGCCTCCTGGGTGCCACAGCCCCAGGGAATCACACCCTTGGCCAAGGAAAAGATCCCAACGTGCATTTCCAGAGGAGGTGGATGAGCAGGATGCAACAAGAGCACAGAACTCCCTCAGGAGAGCTTCACTGCCCACTCTAAGTTTTAATATTTATTCTGTACAGCCCCAGTGAAAAGAACTGGGAAATAAGGCAAAGACAAATTATCCTCCAGAGCCCAAGTGAACCTCTCACACACAGAGAGACCATGCAGAGCAGCAGCTGTGCTCCTCCCTGGAGTCACTTCCCACATCTTCCCCATCTGCTGGAGCAGACTACTGCTTACAAGTCCAGAAGGAATCGATTGACTTTTTTCAGGTATTCTGACTTCAAGTACTCTCCCAGCTCGTCCTTTGTGACCCACAGGTAGTCCTCCTTCAGCTCTGCCTGGGACAAGTCACTGCTCTGGAGGAAGGCTTTGAAGAAGAATACTTTGGCTCCTACGTTATCCTCAGTCCTGATGGCCCTGGGGAATTTATACTTGTAAATCCCATATGGTGCATTCCCCAGGACTTTGGCTTGAATGTGATCTCCTGCAAGACCCCAGCAAGGCAAGAGAAGGAAAACAAGACATAAGAACACAGTAACAGTAGCTGCTCTCCTGTAGTAACAAACAGGCAATGCAAGACACTCCTGGTATCTGTTTCAGACTGATTGTTCCCTCTTCATAGCAGAAACATGCCGAGCATAAGCCTTTGCTCACAAAAAAACCAACTTGTCTGGAGTCCAGCAAGTCCCCTCAGAGCAAGGGAGGGTATCCAGCTTTGCCAACCCAGAGCAAAAAGCAAGGACACGTGGGTTTGCCATCACTCATCTGCCACAAAAGCTGCTGCTGGGCACCACGAGGGAAA